CGGGATGGATTTGCGCGGGACAGGAGGAACCGTCCGGCTCCTCCGCAGCTGCCAGCATCCCCACCCTGCTCCGGGCACCTCGTTGCTCCGAGGGTCCTTCCCCACGAGCTGGGGGGGTCACCAGGCTGGGGACGTGCGCGGCGGGGCAGAGGCACCTGGCAACACGCGTGTGACGTTGGGCCAAGCCGTGAGCTGGGAGCGGCAGGGGACGGGCAGGAATCCCCAGGAGACCGCAGGGACTGAGCACGCTCAGTTTGTTACTTAAATTCTCAAGTGTTTATTTAGTACTTGCAAAACGGATCAGTAGAAAGGCTTAGCAGATGGATTTTCACCAGACATGAAGAAATCCCACCTATTGCACAGTGAGTATAATTTGCTACTCTATATTAACGGCATTTAATAATGATTTTGAATTTTCCTTTCACCTTCGATTTCTCCAGCAGTCTCTCCCCACGCCAGAACAAGCCCCCAGTGCGGGGTTATAGCAGACCCAGGAGCTCAAACACAAAGGATTACACACTCTCTCCGTAACGGTTTTCCCTCGGCGGAAATCTGTGCAGGAATGGGTTGGTACTGGTTTTGGTGGGCACAGAGTTCATTTTCACCACAGTCACTGCATTTCTTCACAGGAGCTCGGGGCTGCGTTTTGGATTGGTGACCAAAGCCGCGGTTTAGCTCTTGCACAGCGTCGCGGTCTCTGTCTCGCTGCCCTGCCAGCGCGTAGGCTGGGGACAGCAAGAAGCAGGGAAGAGACACGACCCCAGGTGACCAAAGGGACATGCCAGACCATGGGACGTGCTCAGCCATAAAAGCTGGGAGGGAGGAAGAAGAGGGAAGGGGGGAACATGGCAAGGGATGGCATCTGTCTTCCCAACTCACCGTTATGCGTAACAAAGCCCTGTTTTCCTGGGGATGGCTGAACACACCTGCCTGCCACAGGGAAGCAGTGAGTAAACTCCTTAATTTTCTTGCTTGTGTGCCCGGGTTTCACTTTTCCTATTAAACTTTATCTCATCCTAAAGGTTTTCTAACTTTCACCTTCTGATTTTCTTGCACATCCCACCAGGGGAGTGAGCGAGCGGCTGTGCAGGTGCCCACCTCCACTAACCCGCAACCGGAGACTTGGTGATTCCCACTTCTCTAAACAGGCCTGAAAGTGCTTTTGTACAAGTGTAAGATACTCTTACTCAGAAAATACACGCAGTGCAGGTATCATTTGTCATTTCCTAACTGTCAAATAATTGCTACAGGCACACGATGAAACCCAGAGCCCCAAAAAAGGGTGTCAGCCTGCACCTCCTGAGCAGCTGTGGGCGGTTCTGCCTCGTAGGGATCCATGAACATTTCACCTCAACTAAACAGGAAGTGGGAACCTCGCTAGGTCTGTTCCTAACCAGCACTATGAGCAAAATCCACCAGCCAGCAGGGTCTGGCTCGGGCTCGTCACCAGGAGGGTGGCTGCTGGCAGCACGACAGAGGTCAGACCATCCCGAAAACTGCAGGGAAAACGCTGCCGACCCAATGGCAGTTGCAGCTCCTGTTTGTCACCGGAGGAAGGGAAGCAGTTCCAGTGTGCTGTCCCTGGTGCTCTGCGTGGCGTGGGTGGAGGTAGGGACTGGCATTTCTTGCTCTGCAGTCCTCCTCTTGAGAGCTTGTACCCAGTGGTCCCTCTGTTTCAGCATGGCTTTTTAGTAAACCGGAGTCTGAGTTTTCTCTTGGTTAGTGCCTCTCTAAGGCTACTCTGCGTGCTCGACAGCTCACTGAAGTACCACAGTACAAAAGGAAAAAAAAAAAGACTTCTCAGCTGAAGGAAAAGAGGCAAAGCGAGCACTCAGAGTATGGACTGCACACGGCGCCATCTCCTCTCTTCAGTTGTAAACCATCTGCAAAAGCAAAGCACAACACCAACGTCCTGTGAAGGATTTGCTGAAACACAACCAGCTCCCTCTCCGGAGCAGCCTGAAGCAAAGCCCCTTCGCTGAGGGCGACTTCCCCAGGGCCCAGCTCGCCGGCCTGCTGCCCCCCCCCAGCATGCGCTGACCTGGATGCCGCATGAGCTCCGAGCGCTCTCAGGGAATGCATCGCTCTCCGGCTCCAGGGAGAACCTTCTGCCATCCCCACATTCACTACTCTACCAAGGCTTTACCCGATCTCAAACCAAGTCTACACAGAGGAGAAGAAAAAGGCTCCTACCTCACTGTGACAGCCACAGCAGTGCTCTGAAACCTGCTCCTCCTTACCACACACTGCGCCAGCCCAGCCTCTGAGCAGCCAGCACCATCAAGGGGGCTTTTCTCTGCAGCACAGACTGGCGATTCTGAGAAAACCCAAATGATTTCAAGACGCTGTGAGTTTCCCTTCCATCGCCGAGAAGGCGCTCACCTAGACAGGCCTGCCTCCCTAGCTCACGCTTCACGCACCGGGACCGTTTTTGGCTCTTACACCTCCTCCTGGACTCAAACATGCAGCCAGGTTATTGCTCGGAGCTTGTTGGGCTCCTGCACGTCTCGCAGCAGTAACACCACAGAACAGGCTGAAGGGCAGAGTCCTGATCCACCCTGCCATCTCCTGTCCCCTCAGGGGCCGCACAGCTCAGCTCTGCAAGGAGCAGCCGGCACAGGCACACGTAGTGCCCGGTCCAGCAGCCATGGAAAACCAACAGTGATCGCGCTTGGCGCTTGTGATCTTGCCCCTCCACCTCAGGAGGCATCTAGAGTCCTCCAGCCAGCACCAGCAGGCTTCTGCCTCCTGCAGAGAGGGGAGGCCATCCCACCCTTCCGGAGTACCCAGCCGGAAACAGGAGGGGAAATGGAAATAATTGAGCTAAGGTCAGATGGGGGGCTGCAAGTGGGCGAGGAGGAACAAGAGCTCACCACAGACCTCGCCTTTAGGACACAGCCTCCCTTCCCCATGGCCTCGTGGCACAAAACCGCATCACAAAACCGCAGCCCTCTGGGCTGGGCTGTGGAGCAGCTCACGAGGCTGCAGAAGGAAGCCCTGGAATCAAAATAACTCCTAAGAGACCTGTCCAAAACGTACCGACCTCTGCCTCCGGCGGGAGCTTCTCAGAGGCGTCACCCACTCGGGCAGAGCAAGGAACAGGACACAGCCTAGGAGATCTCCCTGGGGACATTTCTATTCTAGATAGCACTGGAAGAGTGAGAAGTGATTGCTGACTTCAGGTGGGCCAAATATCCTAAAAACCAGGCCAGGCTCTAAGAAAAAGCTGCAGTTGCGAAGAGGGAACCTGCCGAAGATGAATGGCACATGCACTCGTGCAGACAGCGAAGAGCCGCAGCTCACCTTTACCACCACCGCTGCCACAATCCCCAGCAGCACCAGGACGATCAGTCCCATTTGGCCCTTGTTAAACCGCTTCAAGAGGAAGAACTTGGCCCAATCCACCTTCTTCCGGCTGCCAGGCGGGTACCGGAGTTTGTTCATACCCTCCATCTTCAGGTCCTTGATCAAGCAGGCCCGGCGGTGGGAAAAGGTCTCGAAGCTGTGCTTGCCGTGGTAGGCGCCCATCCCGCTGTTTCCTGAGGGACACAAGCCAGGCAGGTCACACTGCAGGTGCTGCCACTCAACCCTTTGGCCACTCGAGGCCATCAGCATGGCGTGAAGCAGCACAGGAAAACTGGGGCTGCCGGCCAGCAGCACATGTCACCTACCCTGCGTCTGCCTGGCTGCAGTTTGAAAGCGCAACTTCCCTCTATTCCTGCAGAGAGGACAACTGATCCTTCCTCTCTGCAGCACTTCTCACTCCCTAGGACATCCATCTGTACTCCTTCCCCTTTCTTCCCCACCCTGTTTTCACTACACGCTCTCCAGCACTTGGCTGTGTCCCTGTGTGCGCTGCTCCCCGTGCCTCCAAGCCATCTCCAGCTCCTCCCTGGATTTAGCTCCTTCCCATAGCTCCGCACCAAGGTGTCCTGAGCAGCCCACTTCCATTTTTCAATTCCAGGACAGCAAGTGCCATTCACCCTCCTCTAAAAACCTCCCGTAGGCTGTTCCGTGGGCTGTTCCAGTTCTCCCCAAGCCGACGTCCTGCCCTTCCTCCTGCACCTCCCGCCAATCACTCCGATTGCAGCTGATGCTTTAACGCACCATTCGCAGCAGCGTGTGCTGACTGCTTCAGCCTTCCCAAAACCACACCCAAAGGCCCCTGTCCTAATACACTCCCAGAATAACCACAGTACTTCATTAATTCTTATTGAGACCTGCTATACAGAGACCCTTTGGCTGTCACAGGGGTACCTGGATATAAACCAACTCCTGCCGCTCCCCGTGTCACAGCATGCAGCGAGTCACAACACTAAAGGAGCTCCAGTAACTCACCGACACCACCGAAGGGTAAGGTTGAGAGAAAGAAATGCATGATGACATCGTTTCCAGTAAAACCCCCACTGGAGGTCTGAGAGATGACTCTTTTGATTAACTGGCAAAAGAAAACAAATGAACAAAACATTACAAAGGCCCAGAAGGGAGAAGAGCACGTAACTGGGCAGGACTGGGAAGGGAGCTATGAGCCAACAGGCCATCGTGTTCATTTTCTCTGGCTGCCAGCTCAGACAAGCGCTCTCCATGCAATGTTGACTCAAGGGAAATGTGAAATTTCAGAGGAGAGATGGGAAAGATGGAAACCTGGGAGCTCGCCTCCGTAACAATATATTAAAATTAAACTAAACTAATCATGAAAGACCACATGGCATCAAAGAGAAAATTCAGCCTTTTATCCTTCAGTATCAGAAAGTGATGTAAAAGCAAAGCATTTGAGCTGAAGCCTGGGAGCCTCCAGCAGCTCTGGGAACAGTCGT